TTCAGTACATTCTGTGGCAAGTATAGCAGTTTAAAAAATAAAATAAAAAACTTTAATTTTATATAGAAAAAATTTTTAAACTTTAAAAAATAGTAGTGAGATATTGAGTAAAGAAAAGATTAAGATATCTCTGGCGAGAGGAATGCAATGTAATTTAGAAATTCAAATATTTAGGGAAGAATACATTATTTCTTTAAAAACAAACATCTTTTTTTGATGTCTCAAATTTCTTGACTACAGGCTCTGCCTCTCTCTATATCCTTACATTCTCGTTGTTTATGTGGAAAGCCCTCTTTCAGGCATTCGGAGATTTTTCCAACATACGTAATTTTAGCAGTTGTAAGCTCTTTCATGATTATTATTGGATGATGGATTGTTTAGTTTAGGTATTATATAGTATATCATAGAAACTTAGTCAGAACTCTGGAGTATAATTTCTGTGTATATTCTTTATTAGCTCTTTTGAAAGCAGAAAAGATTTCTTTTAGTTATGTTCCAAGCAGAATAGCATTTTTCAAAGGCCATATTTTTATATTGTATGTGTGATTTTTTTAGAAATCCCAGTTTCCATTTCCAGTCAAATTTGAAGAGTTACATAGAGGTTATTGTTGTATTGTTATTATAACATTTTAGCATTTCTAGATACAAAATTTTTAATGGAAAATACTAGTGGAAAGCCTCTCTTTTTTTTCTTTTTTTTATTAATTACACTTTATTCACTTTGTATCCCCCCTGTAGCTCCCTCCTCCCCTACCATTCCCTCCCTTCCTCCCCCTTGTCCCACACATGCCCCCCCAAGTCCAATGATAGGGGAGGTCTTCTTTTCCTTCCTTCTGATCCTAGTCTGTCAGGTCTCATCAGGAGTGGCAGCATTGTCTTCCTCCGTGGCCTGATAAGGCTGCTCCTCCCTCAGGGTGAGGTGATCAAAGAACAGGCCAATCAGTTCATGTCATAGACAGTCCCTGTTCCCATTACTATGGAACCCACTTGGACACTGAACTGCCATGGGCTACATCTGTGCAGGGGTTTTGGGTTATCTCCATGAATGGTCCTTGGTTGTACTATCAGTCTCAGGAAAGACCCCTGTGAAAGCCTTTCTCCTAAGTGTAATAAAACTACTTGTCTCTATACCAGCCCAGAATTAGATCTGTGAGGATAATTATTCCTACAGAGTTGGTTATTTGAATCACTTGATGTTTAGTTCTCACTGAGATTTTGTAAACTGAATTAACATGATAGCAGCTGTCCGTAAACTAAATAATAATTCTAATTTGGTTATACAATTTTAGACTTTTATAAAATTATCAGGATAGTACTTCACCTTGAGTGGTTGATATAGTTGATATATCATATAAGTAATATAAATTGATATTACTTTTTTTAGTTGTGATTTGTGAATATGTCTTGTTACATTGTTACATATTGTTTTTTCTTTTTCTTTTTCTTTTGTAGGCATGGCAGAAAGCGCGGAGTGATGGGTGGGAGAGAGCCTTTTGTGAAAAGAATTTTCTTTCACAAGCTACCATGGAAATCATTATAGGCATGAGAACACAGTTGCTTGGTCAGCTTCGTGCATCAGGTAAGGTTTTTCTGCATAGGACACTATTTATTCTTCATGTTTCTAGATTTAAAGTAGTACCAGTTCCTGTTACTTTTATATCACACTGTATGTCTGTATTCTTGAGCTGATGTGTATACTTCTTTATCTTTTGCACTTTTATTATTGATGAAATAAAATATTACTCTGGTTGTAGCAGGAAACTATATGAACATGATCTGTATACCTTTTTGATACTGTTGGCAGTGAGCAATTTATATATTTTTTGTTAAAGATCAATTTAGATTTAATAAATTGTTATATTTAATTTTCCCTCTACCAATCAAAAATTATTTAACTCTGTGAAATAGCAATTATAAGAATTTAATTAGATTAATGTGGCTGCTATGTATATGTGGAACACCAAAATGGTTGGTGATAGCTTGATGGTACTTATTTTTCTTTTTGAGAAATTTCTGTTACTGTTTTCTTTTACCTTTGCTTCTTTGAAGATTTTTTTTTTTATGTTGTTTTAAGTAACATAGTTAACTGAAGTGATAGTAGTATCAGAATCTGGATTTATAGGTTAGCTGAAGTATTAAAGGAAACAAGAGAATTGAGAATTTAGATTTGTTTTAAATATGGGAAAATATGAAAGCTTTTGGAAATTTAAGCATTCAGCACACATACTTAGTTATAATTTTGCAGTCAATGTCTGCTAAAATGAAAGCATTGATACCAGTCAGAAGAATGGTTTGGGTTTCAAGTGATAAACTTGAAAAATGTTTCTGATAGCAGATGTCTTAGTTTGTTTCTTTTGCTATGATAAAGGTCATGATCAAAACATCTTGGGGAGGAAAGGGTTTATTTCAGCTTATGGTTGTTACATCACCAAAGGAAGTCAGAGTAGGAATTAAACCGAAGCCTTAGAAGAATGTTGCTTGCTGACTTGCTCTTCATTGCTTGCTCAGCCTGCTTTCTTATACTGTCCATGACTATCTGCCACGGATGGCATCACCCACAGTGGGTTGACCCCTTCCACATCAATCAGCAACCAGGAAAATCTCCCACAGACTTACTACAGGCCAGTCTCATGGGACATTTTCTCAGATTAGGTGCCCTCTTCATAGATAACTCTAGCTTTTGTCAGGTTGACAAAAAACTAACCAACACAGCAACTGATGAATGACTTTACTAGAAATCGTGCAAATAGAGCCAGATATAGTAGCCATACACTGACATCCCAAATACTCAGGAGGTTGAAACAGGAGGATCTATTCAAGGTCAGTTGGGGTTATATAATGAGATCTTATCTCAGTAAGTAATGTTAGCCTTAACAGATCTGAACTTTCCTCTATCAGTTTTATGCTAAACACTTGCGAGAACTGAATGTGTTATTCATGGAGTTGAATGTTGTTAAATTTATATGGGTTTACAGTTTTTGTTGTCAAATGTACACAAGTGCTGAAGTGCCTTTTGCGCAATAGAAAAGATTGGTTTGCTCTTTTTGTCCATCTAGGTTTTGTTAGAGCACGAGGTGGTGGTGACATTCGAGATGTTAACACAAACTCCGAAAACTGGGCTGTTGTTAAAGCTGCATTGGTAGCAGGCATGTATCCTAATTTAGTCCATGTGGACAGAGAGAATATAGTATTGACAGGGCCAAAGGAAAAAAAAGTACGATTTCATCCTACTTCAGTTCTCAGTCAGCCTCAATATAAAAAGGTAAAACATTTTTAATGCTCTTAGACCTGTGGTGAATCAAATTTAGGTAGTTGAAGATAAACAAAAATGCTACCAGCTACTTCTCTTTAGCATATTAATTTGCAAAATATGTATAATGAGACATTGAATCTTAGAAACAGAAGAGGTTACAGTGGAAAAGTAGTATGGAAATGTGTATAAAACAAAAGAGCAGTGGCTCACTTTAATTTTTGAGTACTAATATACCTTGTCTGTTTCACTAGAGAACTTAAATGTATTCCCAATAAATAAAGTAATTAACTGTCTTTTTGCTGTCTTAATAGATCCCTCCAGCCAATGGTCAGGCTGCAGCAATTCAGGCATTGCCCACAGATTGGCTTATTTATGATGAAATGACCAGAGCTCATAGAATTGCTAATATCAGATGCTGTTCAGCAGTGACACCTGTAACTGTCCTGGTGTTCTGTGGACCAGCAAGACTGGCAAGTAATGCTCTTCAGGAACCTTCTTCCTTTAGAGGTAAATGTAGTATTAAGAAGTTAAAATCTATTTGAAATAAACTAAACCAATAATATAAAAATACAAAAATTTGTTTTTTTATAACATGAGAGTGTTAGAAAATACTGAGCTATATTTGACATAGTAAGATAATTAGGAAATACAGAAGTATGTATTTGATATAGTGAGACAGGAAGTAGTGAGATATACACTTTTATTGAAATTTATTTTCAGTTAACAGGTTGTTAGTTTGTTTTGATTAATCTTACTGATTGGAAGATGTTTGGTTTTTACTTGAATTTAGGTGATAATATGAATAAAGATAATTTTAAAGTAATTAATATTTTTATCTTTATGCAAATACTTTTAAATATTTTTTTTTCTAACCACATAGTTTAATTATTTTTCTAGTGCTATTTTTCATATTTTCAGGGTTTTGGTAATAGTAGGTTTCTGAATAATGGTGCCTATTTTAATTTATTTTATATGTTGGGGATATTAAACTATGATAAATGTGCAAGTGTTGGGAGATTGTCAGATGATGGCATTAGGTGTCTTCATCTGTCACCACTCCCCCACCCCTGTACCCCCACCACGGCATCAGCCCAGACCAGGGACATCTGTATGACTTTTGATGGCAACAGATGACTCAGGCTGCTTCAGGGCCCCTGGTGGCAGCACAGGCCAGGATTCCACCATGGTCCTAGATGGCATCATTGGCTACTTACAAGGCTGTTCTTCACTACCTTTGAGTGTCCAGTTCTGCCTCTCTTCATTGTGTCCACATCCTTCTGCTTCTCATTCTCTTCCATTTCTTTACCACTTACTTGCTCCTCTTAGTGGTGCTCAGGGTCTCTGAGTTTCTGGGGTCATCTCAGGAGTGATTTTGGGAGTACTATGTCAGGCTCCTGCATTGTGGAGCCAGGCAGCAGTCATCTTAGGCATGGTATTCACTGCTTGCTCCCCCACCACAAAGCCATGCAAGGCACCCGACTGGTGGTTGTCGCAGGCTAGCTCCTTGTCCAGGCCTCATGGCAGCAGTCCAGTGGTCATCTCTGGCTCATTTCCTCCCTAGTCCTCCTGAGTCACCCCATGCAAGGGTCATCTGTCTCTAGCTCACTCCAGCCTGGCGCTCTCAGTCTCAGGCAGGGTTCTTCTAGTCTCCAGCTTGCTCCTGTGCAAAGCTGTCTCAGGCTATCTCCCTGTCTGAGTCCCCTCACATGAGACTAGTGGTCCTTTCAGGCTCGGTTTTTTTTCAGGTCATGTTAGGCTACTAATGGCTCAGATGTTCATAGGTCAGAACGCTGAGCATAACCAGAGCCTCGCTCCTCCCTGTCAGCTAGTGATGCGCATGTGACACAGCAGCCACCCTGCAGCTTCTAGCGGCAGGTACAGTTTGATTGTTAAGACTTACTTCTCTATTTCAGGTACCCTCTCCTTTATCTGCACTGCTTGTTAGACAGTGCTTACTATGTATCATTTTTCTAGAACACTTAAAGATGCCTATTAAATTTGGACTCTTTATGTAAGTTTTGTGTGTATTCTTTTATCTTCCTTAATGTACTGTTAATTACATTTACACTGTACCATCATTTAGTATTTTTGTTTATCAAGAAATTCAGTATCTTTGTGAAGGATTTACCTGTAACTCTCTGCTGCCCTTAGATAAACTATATTGCTAAAATATTCCTCGATAATTGTCCCTGTTTTAAAAATTCAGTGTTAGTCTTCTTGTACTAGTTTCTGAATGCAACAGCTCTTTTTTTTTTTTTTTTACCTTTAATATTTTCTTTCAAGAAATTCAGTATGTTTTATTGAACTATACTTTATATTAAGTTTAGTAGTACTTCTTGGTAACTTTCATAAAGATTGGACCTATTTTTGGAGTCTGTTCTTTTCTTCCACTATGGGTCCTGGGCATCACACAAATGTCAGGATTGTGCAGTGCTGAGCTATCCTGTTGGCCCATATTTTATATATTTAGATTAAGTTTATAATCTGTTCTATTAGATGAACTTTCCACAGAAATTGCTAGACTGTAAGGAGGAGTTTTTCACATAAGAATATCTGTTCTGCCGCTCTGCCATTTTGTAATACTAGGTAAAGTGATTTACTTTTTTCCATGTGTGTTGTGACAGCGGATGGCATCCCCAATGATAGTAGTGACAGTGAAATGGAGGACAGAACTACTGCTAATTTGGCTGCTTTGAAACTTGATGAGTGGCTTAATTTCAAACTAGAGCCAGAGGTAAGCTGCTTTTTAATAGGACATACATTTTTTTTAGTTAATATGAATTGAAATAGCATGTTCAAAATTTTATCTTCAATAGTGATTCCTTAATGTTAAAAAATACGTATAGCTTGTTTTTCATTTTTCGTAGAACCCTCATGCATTTTCTGCCACGTTGTGTTTTTCTTCTGTCGGGGGACTCAAAACAACATAGATGCTGTGCAGTATTTATTATCCTACTCTATGCTGCTATAACACAGTATCAAAATTCCTCAGTCTAAGATCTGAGTGCCAGTGAAGTTACTCTGTTTACCAGATGACATCTTAAAGCCTGTGTCCTCAGCAGGGAGGTGTGCTGTGTCCATGGTAGAAAGCTGAAGGGTGAAATGGAGTGCATCTCTCAAACCCTTTCAGAAGGGTGTCTGATCATTGTCATTTCCTGAATACTGTCACATTGGGGATTATGTTTCAACATGAATTTTTAGAGGGATCAAAACTATCTGAGCCATAGTAGTAATATTTTAGTAATTCTGGATATGTAAAATATTAAATAGTGAGCACCATTTATTTTTATCATTTCTGGAGAAATATGTGAGTTCATTTTGTTTCCATAACTGAATTGGGAGAGATAAATTTTTGTTTTTCCGATTTAATATTTTCTTGACAGCCTTTTCTTATTCTAGGTTTTTGTTTGTTTGTTTTAATAATCATTCTTGTCCATTTTGGGGGACAGCTGAGCTCTCAGTAGTCAGTACTGTCTAGGTTTACTCTTTAACCATTGCTCCATTTCACCTATTCATGTATTTATCACATGTAATCTCATTGCCATTCACGCAAACAATTGCATTTGCCAAAAATAACAGTGCCTTCCATATTTTTATGCCAGTCTGTCTTTGATAGACTTGCTCAACTAATTGGTACTACTGTGTACCCCTTTTTAATCCTAATCCTTAATCCTCTCTATTTTCCCTTTCTCAATCCTGCTCAAATACTTTGTGTTAAAGTCAGCCATTTTTTATTCTTCTTCCTCTGTAGTCATTTCATGTGTGTGCTTCTGCTTTAAATTTTAGGTGCCTGTGCTTTAAATAAAGGCTTCTTCTTCTGGGTGTTCTTCTCTGCACTCTCACTCTATACGATCCCTGCTAACTTTATTGCTCTGTAGGTTTATCACTGACAGTACTTATGTTTCTCAAGTCTGTCTCTAGATTAGACCTTCATATGCATGCATTTACCTCTTGACCATCATCATTTGGATGCTGTGTAGACACTAAAGGATAGTATGAATAGGCTGCGTGCATTTTTCCTTATTTATTGCATTACTGTTTTTTCAGTATTGACCACACACTACCACCTGCAGTGTTTACGGTCTCCTTTATTAGCTGTTTTGTTTCATTCTTTGTCTCTAGTTTCTAGAATATGATGACTAAAAATTTTACTTATGCAACAGAATGAATGAAACAAATAGAAAATTATATTGCATGTAAGATAGTTCTTCAGAAACAGTTATAGACAGTAGTTAGTATAAAAAAAGTTACATATGTGATACACATTTTGCTTGTATTTGAACTGAGGATGATTTGATTACAGGCTGCCAGTTTATTGCTGCAGCTCAGACAGAAGTGGCATAGCTTGTTTTTACGCCGAATGAGAGCTCCATCTAAACCTTGGTCTCAAGTCGATGAAGCTACCATACGAGCAATTATAGCTGTTTTAAGCACTGAAGAACAGTCTGCAGGTTTACAGCAACCATCTGGAATTGGCCAGAGGCCAAGACCCATGTCTTCAGAAGAACTTCCTTTGGCTTCATCTTGGAGATCCAATAATAGTAGGAAAAGTTCAGCTGACACTGAGTTTGCTGATGGATCTACCACGGCAGAAAGGTGAATCTGGCATTCTTTTTAGATGGGTACATTTTCTCCATGACAGTGAACTGTTTATACTATTTCATAGTCACATATAATGTAGTATATGTAAAAGATCACAATAAAATGGAGTTTATTGCGTTAATATATTTCTTGTAAATACTAAGGGAATATGAACGACTTAAAGCAGGTGCTTATGGTTTAATAAGGTTAATCCTTCAGGAAAAAACTGAAAATGCTATGTGAACAGAATTTATAAATTTAAGATCTCTTTGGAAGATAGCAAATTCTAAAACAATGCATTATAGTGGACATATGTCAAATGACATTTTTCCTAGACACCTGAGTAGGAAGCACCGGCAGTGCTGTTTAAAGAGCAGTTTTTCTACACTGCTGCCTACTGTCACTTGTACCAGCTACCCTCTGTACAGAAGAGCATGCTGCCTATCAGTGATGTGCTGACTGCCTGCTCCATGTGAGGACAGCAAGGAAGAAAACAACTATTTTTTTCTTCATTCCAGCAGAATTGTTTTCCCTCTTGCCTTAAATTGTAGATACTTTTGAATCCAGGGTTTGTGTTAGGTAAGGTGTTTGTTTTGTTTCTTTAAACATATTGCCATATGGAGCATTTCTTTTTACCTTTTGGAAGAAACTAGGTCAGTGCTACTGTGACATACCCAACATATTGGACTTGTCTGTTTCCTGCTAACATCCTTTAATCTTATGCTCTGTTTATTCTGTGTGAATTAGTGGTTAGTTTTTAAGGTTCAGTTATATCTCTTGTTTTAACAAGAGTGTTTTTAGAAATCTTAAACTGCAACCAGAATACATACTGTCTGATTGTGCCACAGAGTACATATTATATGTTTTTAAAAGAAAAAAAAATCTTAAATGCTGTTTTCAGTGTTTATAGATATTTAGAAGAATCTTAGAGTTCATCTAAGATAACCTTTTAATTTACCAAATAATTTAAAGTTCAGAGACATACACAGGGTTCTATTCTAGGTAGTTGTATATTTAGTGTTCTAGTGTGTAACTTGTGTGTCCTCACTCTAGTCCAGTATTCTTCTCACGTTAGCTCACTTCAAGTCTGTTTTACACAATACCATTTCTGATTTTTCAAAATGTGGTTTACCTCATTTCTAAAGTGTACCCTATAGTCTGTGGGGTTTTTCTGAAGGGTGGGTTTGGAGCATGTGTGTATGTAAATGTCATAGGTTGATATTAGATGTCTTCCTTAGTAGCTTTCCACTTTGATTTTTGAGACAAGATCTCTCAATGAACTTAGACCTCACCTATTTGGGTAGTTGGGAAGCAAAATCCAGCGATTTGCTTTTCTTTGGCACCCTAGTTCTGAAATTACTGACCTGTGCTGCTGAACCCAGCTTTTTCTCGGTTTTTTTTTTTTTTTTTTTTTTTTTTTTTTTTTTTTTTTTTTTTTTTTGAGACAGTATTGGAGAAGAGACGGGTGGAGAATCCCAGGAGAGAAAGAGCGAACAATTGTGGCATTTATTCATTTATTTATTTATTTATTTATTTATTCATTCATTCATTCATTCATTCATTCATTCATTCATCTATTTATTTATTTATTTATTTATTTGTCTGTCTGTCTATCCATTCATTCATTCATTCATTCATTCATTCATTCATTCATTCATCTGTTTTCATACACACCAGAAGAGGGAATCAGATTCCATTATAGATGGTTGTGAGCCAACCTGCGGCTACTGGGAATTGAATTCAGAACCTCTGGAAGAACAGCCAATGCTCTTAACCACTGAGCCATCTCTCCAGCCCTGAACCCGGCTTATGTTGGTACTGGGGATTGAATTCAGGTCCTCATGGTTGCTGTGATAAAATACAAGACATAAAATTGATATTTGACAAAATGTTGATAAAATACTTGACAATAGGCAATTTGCCCATCACTGTGGGGAACACATGAAAATAGGGAAAGACATGGCAAGCATGGAGGTAGGAGCACGAAGTTGGCTGATCATATTTCATCAAAGAACAAGAAGTGTAGCAAGGCTCTAAAGTCTCAGAGCTTGTCTTCAGTGGCTTACGTCTTCCAGTAAGGCTCCGGCTGTTCTTTAACAGCGTTACCAGCTGAGTATCTGTGGTCAAATGTAAGAGCCAAGGAGGATATTTTATATTCAAACCACAACATGTAACAAGCACTTTACTGAGCTCTTGTCCCACTTCAACTGTTTCTTATTTCCATATTTATTTGTATATTCATTGTGGTACTGGGGATCAAACCCAGGGCCTTAGGCATGCCAGGTAAGTGCTATG